TCTTTCTCATTCTTCCTTTTTGTTTCTCTTTTCTCTATCACACTCGAACAAGCAATTCAAAAATTGCCTAGCAATGTTTAATACTATCCAACCTGCATTCATGAGCAACCGCAAATACCACCTTGGAAGTTCACTGCTGTTCGTTGTGGAAGATTTATATACCCGACGCAAGCTCATTCTCCGATCCAGTCTGTCGAAGTGTTCAGCAGAGACACGGCGATGAATCATCGATCTGTTTGCTAGAAGTTGATAGTGGCTAAACCACTATAGAGAGCTAACACTCGGATAGAGAGAGGACAGTTCAAGACCCGTTGGTGACCAGTGGAGGCCGAAGATCCTTCTTCAGCTCGTAGCCTGTTGTCATATATCGGTTTGGTAGATTTGATTACGGCGAATAAAACACTTATTTTCGATCTTCACTTGGTTTCTATTTTCTTTGATGATCATGAGCTATTTGATTATGCTGTCAAATGGTATTTTTAGCTCCGTGGGATGAAATAGTGCCCTTGGCAATAGCTATGGCAGCCGTGTATGATGGCTCATATAAACGACCAGGACGAATGTATGTATATGCCTGTATTAGGATCAAATCAAATCAAATCGAACCTATTGCCGCTACGAAACTGTGGAGCAAAAAAAACACATCCATAGGGTTCCGACTCAGAACCTCAGTGTTCTAGTAGAATTTCAATGAACTTTTTAATCTTGATTCAGCTTGAAGCTGGGTGGAAAAAAATTAATATGTAATTGGTGGAAATTCCTTGTTGAAAAACAGATTTCTAACTTGGGCTTTACTATCCGACGCCCTATGCTCAATTTATGTAAAACGAAGGAATTTGTTACTAAAGAGAGGTAGAACGCTATCCAGTGATAAGGATTTTTGCACAACAAAAAAAGAGTCGGGTTTACTCAGATGGTGTACATATCTATGGCACTTGTAATGAGGAGCCAGACTTTTGATAAAGGGTAAAGGTCAATTTTTGAATCTTGTACACTAAAGTTCAACATTTTCTAGTGCAACCTATTTAGCATGAGCTCAATTCGCAGAAGTGTCTGCGTATCCGATAGCAGCATCTAGCAATTAATTATACAGAGTGCGTTGCGTATTACGCGGAGGCTATCTGAGATTTCTATTCTGGTGTTTCTCTTATATCAACAATTTTTGACAACCCATTACCTTGCGGACTAGAATTTTATATCGACAATCACCTATTTGAACTCAAGTTAGACGCCAGCACATTCTAGTCGCGCCCCGTCTTCTACTGTATTTAATGCATGAACATAAATACGAAATTCCCGTACTTTATTCTCAATCATTTGCTGACTTACGGCGGCATTCGCTCGCAGCACAAATGCGACAGGCCTAGTCAATCACCAACAGCATCCCGGCGCTACTCTTTTTTTTGGTTTTCATTGATGTCCATTACATTTATTGTGACACTATAGTCTTGCTAGCTCACTGATGTCCGTTCGTCATGAATTCTGGGTTAATATATTTATAAGTGCCCACAAGGCTGTCGTTCCCAAAACACTATCCGGTTCTGGGGTTGTTTCAACCGCGTTAGAACGGCTTGGTTGTGGCACTTTAGCGGCCATAACAGCCGCTGTACTGGTTGTTATTAGAATAGAATCGCACCGGCTGAGCGCGCGGCTCCCTTGTCCCTCATCGCTTCAAGGAGAGAGTGTTTTAATTACAGTTGTGAGTTGTTATTTCCGCTGTTACCGGCTGACTGGCAGAAACAACAGTGAGAGAAATGTGTGCACCTATGTCATTTCGACCCGAGCTCTTTCCTCGCCTCTAAGTACGTTGTCCTGCCGCTGTGTTCCCCATTATGATTAGTCAATGGCCATAGCCTTTGTGGCTACGGAGCACATGTGGCGGGGCTGCTCTGCCCGGTCTCAGATACAACGTCGTTAGATAGGAAAGCTCGCTGGACAAGACTAGGATTTAGGGGGGTAAGCGACTTCAGCATCCGTACACGGCCTACCTAGGTACAATGGAACAGAGAGGGGAGGTGCCGGTGCATTTATGTACTGCCGTGTAATGCGTTTAAATCGCTCACAACAGTAAGTCCGGATCTGTACGGCAGAGCAAGCCTTCTCGCTGCATTCGTTCGGTCTATGCAAGGAGTAACTAGCTGGATGTGTTTCTCACTTCATTGGACTACGACCATTCATAGAACATGGTGTGCTTTCAAAGCTACTCGCTGGCACAACTGAGCCGGTCAGTTTAAATCCGCTGTCTAGGAGTTTCAACATGTAACAAGAATCTTTCAATACAGCTGTGGCCTTTTGTGCAGTTCAAAGAGGTGATTAAGGCAATGGTCAGATTTGAGCGGCAATCTTAATGGAAATACGTGGGCGGACAACAAGAACACAAGCGTATATGCAACAGTGGGGCCCTTAGCGGTCCTGTACAGAGGCACGAACCTGCTGCTCTTACTGTTGCTGCTCCTATCTTCAGCCTTTAACATCATGCATCAACTACCACGACTGATGCCGGTGATGGTTTTGGCCACACAAAGGTGGTCGTAGCGGCTGTGGCGAATAAATGAGCGTCAGAGTGTGGCTCACGTACCGTGCGTATATCACGCAACGTATCCTTAACCACATATCTTAATAGTATTAATAGCGTGGCTTTTATAATGGTGCGCAGTCCGCTTTTGGAGGGATATGGAAAAAATGTGCCCCATCTTTGACTGCCAAACTTTATCGGGCATGTATATTGCATAGACGCTTAATAATGTTACTGGGAAGAACTGGATTGTTTGCGGCAATAGGTTCCTAAGTTCGTAGATTTTGGTAGTTGTGATTTGATCTGATAGAGATTACATCCTTTTCCACGTCTTACAGAAAGATAGAGGGTCATCCACTATTATCACAATGATGCTTATCATTCTAATCATACAAAGCGTTTATAAAAGGCGCGCAGTCCTCTTGGATTGATTTTCTTCTTCCCTGCTGATTCCATACGTTACAATATAATTCTACTGATTCTTTCACGGACCTTGTCAAAAACAAATAAAGACTACTTTATCGCTGCAGTAAAGCTTCTACTCCTACCTCTATAACCTCGCTTATATGGTAAAAATCGCCCTTTACTAACCCTTGTTTCGTCCACCTGCCTTTCTTCGCCAGCGAGACCCTTTTTTATTCTGTTACTTCGCTCCATATTTCCTACCACACAGAACCATAGTCGCACATGTGCTATTCGCAACGTCTAGTACACGAGATTTTCCTTCGTAGTATTTTTGGCTACCCTTTTTTTCGACGGTTTCTCTCAGTTCTTCCTTTACTCTTCGGTACGGCTCTTGGCAACCGTGGTGACGGTGGTAGCACTACTGTATTAACGCCTCAGTCGTGTCCGCCCCAGCCCGTTGTGCTGTGTCATTGTCGAGGCCACTGGCTTTGCGGTAAAGCTGCGATGACAGGAAACGGAAACGTTAAAGGAAGCGCACATGGAGAAGACGTTTTTCTTCTTGGCACGAACGAAGCAACCGGGAGGACCGAGTTGTAGAATGACGACATAAAGGGAACGAACCAAGCGACGAGCAAAACTAGCAGCAGCAACAGCAGAAGGCCGCATTAGTGTTACAAGCAGGAAGAATCCTACTAGAGGAATGGAGATACCACGAAGAATATAGTGATAAAGAGAAAAAAACAAGTAAAAAGGAGGAGAGAGAAGCTGGTATGAGCGGAGGTCGGGAAGGTAGACCGATGCGATTGTTGTGTCCTTGTTCTGCCATTGCTGCTTCTACTGCCACTACTGTTGTTGTTGCTGCAGGTAATTGAATTCGGACCTGAATTTCGCACCCCTGAATTCCCGGGTGTCGACGAATCTCTTACCTGTCCTGCTAACACTATCACCCTGCAGACCCAGAGAGCAGCAAGCATCCAGCGGCAAACTAGGCGCCATCTTACCGTAGTCTGGACTGTATCTGTGTGAAGTTCAGCATCATAGCAAAGGATAGCGAAACGTAGACCATTGTCGACTACAGCGTTTACATCGTCCCCAAGTCTCAGTTGCATTCTCATCCATCACGTTACCGCACGTCAGCGCCCCATTCTAGGACGCTAGGTGGCTGACTGACTGACCGGTTAAGTTCGGCCTTCTGCAGCACTCAACCTCCCCACCTGCAACACACTTGCCAGTTCGCTGCGTTGAGCCAATGACGAGCACTAGTCCTGACCGAGGACGCCTGAGATACGACGTCTTTGCCGCCCTGCTTTCCCGCGTTATCTATGTCTTTTCTTCGCTTTGTTCTTTCTGGCTTCCCTCCTTTAATGTCCTGATGTCCCTACTCATACCGAGAACACTCTTCGTCGATTTTCTCGTACCCCCAGAAAACTCCCCAGCCGAACCATATCTGAACTTCAGCAGACGGGCTTCATTTTTCTACCTTTTTTTTTTTGTTTTTGGGGTTCGTTGCAGTTCCACGAAAACTGGTAGACGGTAACAGCTGTGTAGATGAATATGTATGTTACAGCTGGCTGGCACAACGAATGTCCCTGTAAGGTGCATGTATAAGCGCGGAATGCATAGCGTGTTAGGTAATAACGCTTTGCTATGATCACAGACAGTAATCATAGCCTAATATTGATAATGTTGCTGAAGAAGCGGAGTGTAGTATGAAGTTTATGATCCTTAGATCCGTCGCACATGTTCTGAAGAAGGCAGGAGAGACAAAAATATTCAATGAGGTAGCTTATATAGGATTAGCAAAAGTCCCTTATTATTATAGTGCATTTATTTCTACGGCGAAGAAGCTAGGTGTACGATTTATGGTAAAGACGGGCACCCGACAGGGCTACTGAAGTTTCAGCTCTATTGGCAGAGTTGAACGCTCTTCGTAGCAACCCTTCATATCTTTTTTTCTCAGTAAATGTCTCGGCACCGACTTTTGTTATAGAATCATTCACAAAAATATGTACGGCGTCAATTCCGCACTATTGCATGTATTATGTACGGCTTTTCAATTAAATTTATTTGTTTCATTTGCTCATCATCATAATGAGGAAGCTGGCTTTCCATCGCGCGCTTTGTCGAAGTCATCCACCTGTGCTCCTTATCATCCCATTGTAATTTGTCGTATCTTGTAATCCCTTAAATAGATTCTAAAATTTAGCAAACAACAAGTAACTAGTATTTGCACATAGACATGCTTATATGTAAAGCAAATACTCCATCGTGCACTCCTACGTGTCGCGTTCTACCACTTCTGAAGCCGACATAGATGAATCACCCGCCCTGGGATGCGTGTGTGGTAATAACATATAGAACTAGATAGCGTGTCTAGCCAACACAACACGCATCAGTTGTCTGGATAATACCGACGGCGAAACTAACGTCGTCGTGTATGTCTCATCACGAGTACCTACATGGGGTACCAGACATTTGCTGGAGGTGCCAGTAGAAACAGTCTGCGGCGTGATGAGTGTTCCCAGTGAGAGGGTCGTCGTTTGTTTTCGAAGTTAAGGGATCTAAACATCCGTAATTTTCGTATTTGCCTTTCGGATTTTGCCGCGCTTTCATCGAGCGTGCCAATAAACTGAGTGGCGCTCATCTATACATCTCACCATTGCTCTGAATTGACGTATCGCGCGATTGAGCAAGCAGCAAGTATCGTCTAGAAAAAAGTAATACATTAAGGAAAATGGCTGGTAATATCTTATACATCGTCTAAGGAAATTTCGTTTTGTGGTTGTAATACATTAAAAAAATTTTGCCAGTTAGAAAAAGATATTCCTCGCGTGTCGTTTCCACCATCTATCGCATGCTGTACGAGGTTTAAGTAGGATTTAAAAGTGTGACACTTCGGAAAATCTAAGTAAGTAAGAAAGTACCGCGAACAATATCACAGTGAAATAGCTGGCAAACGAAAACTTCTAACCCTTCAAATGCATATATAATAGCTTCAGTGTCTGCTAAACTGAGTACGCCTAAACGGAGCTGATCAGTGAACCATCCTATAACTTTATGGAGGCAGAAACATTTTGCAGCTTCTTGGCTGTTTAACGATCCCGTCCTTTCAAACAAGATAGGTCGAATTAGAAATAAAGTAATTTGTTGAAACAAAAAATAAATTTCAATATAAAGTAAGCGATCATTACGAATTACAGTACGAAAATAAGAACTGAGCAACAAGGATATATATTTAAAACGAAGTTTAAACGTATCTCTTATCAAAAAACATCATTAATCCAAAATTATTTAATGCCTTATTTTGCTATACACAAATACAAAAGAGTTACCTAGTTATTAATTTCAATTCTATTTTTTGCTTACTTGTTCGTAGTCCCAACTGTAGGCAAAACCCAAAAAGCGATTGCTAGTTCTGGGGGCTTCCATCCTTCTGCTGTCAAACATTGGGCAAACACTTCCAACAATGAGTATAATCATCCCGCGACTTAAAGCAGTGATAACCTTCATAAACTATTCAAGAAAAGGGACACTTTGAAATTCAATGTTTGCAACTATCAAAGTTGGAAAAAGTCGGATAAAGAAAGAGATGGAAAGATAGGCGCTGCAAAGGTTCCTGAGTTATCAACAAGGAATGACGTTTATGGCTCATACGCACCGGGTGAAGCTTTCTTATTAGAACGGATTGTGATAAACATTTAGTCTGAGGCTGAGTATGAAAACCAAAAGAAGTTTCTACGAAAAATATTGCCTCGTTCTCTCTGTAACGCTATAAAAACCACGAAAAGATCTTTTAAAGCTTGTTCTTGTACAAAGCTGCGAACTCCAGCGTCCAACATTCACCCAAAATATGACACAGGCCAACTTAAGATTATAGTTCATTCTATGGAGACGCAACTATCAGACACGGGCGTCAGTGTTTTGCTGGCAGTCCATAGAGGTAACAATTTTGACCTTCTGGTAGCAATCACCCTTTTATCATTTATGATACATCAGCATCATGCAGTCAGAGTTTTTTTTTCATTAGTGTTTTTTTTTACTCATTTGAATTGTGTAAAGGCAAATACAACGAAATTTCAACAATCTAGTTTAACATTTCTACAACATTTTTGCATGTCTATGGCGGTGAGTAAAACCATTTTACGCTATGCTATTATCAATATATTGGCCAACAGACAATTACTTTTAGGATTACACAATTACTCGTCCGTCTCAAACAAACATATTATTTAAAAAATAATTTCCTCTTAATAATAAAAACTGTGCACCCCTTAGTTTGATCAACCACTTTCTGCTATGCCATTCGGAAGATTTTGCTTGAAGAAACAGGGTAGTTAAATACGAAGAACCACTGTGCGTTCTGAGATAGTACGTAAACGACGGGAGAAGTGTATACGGGACACGTTTTAGTTAATATACTTAGACTTCACTGCACTTTACTGATTAGCTAATACTGTGTTCCATATTCCTGTTTTTAGTAAACACAGTGCCGGTAGCAGACGACTTTTCGGCGTCCAACAACCCAAAAATTCTCAGTTATTCAATTTCAACACATTCTATTGTGCAAGGCGATGATCCAGCCGAAGGCTTGTTTGGATACAACCTCAAAGCAGTTGACTAGCCAAACGTAACAGAACGTGTTTTGCAGAAGCATAGGATACGCCATTTGTATGAAAAGGTTATCTTTATCAAACTTCAAAACAGTTCCCAACGTTCCGGGCTGCTCAGACTCAGAATGATTAAAATGTCCAGCGTTGATTTAATCATAAGCAAACGTCTAACACGTAGTGAAACTTCTTCGAAATTTAGAAACCGGTCCCAACGCCGTTCTGAAACAACGGTGATATGAGACATGCTATAGATCTACGATTCTGCATCTCGCCAAAGCCGAAAGTCATCCATTTCATAACATACGTATAATTGGTGAACGTCTAGGGTTGCACATCACAGGGGCGTGGAAGACGTAATAGGGGAGGGGTAATTAGTACTTCAAAGCTAATTCGCTGACTCACCGCCTAGACCTCGAGCACCTTACCCGGTTCTCCCTGGTGAATTCCTTTATACTCAGCTACCATACAGAGAAGCCGCCGCCTCGGTGGCGGTGGCGCAGGAGTTGGGACAGTCGGAACTCGCTGGATTGACTGTCAGGAAAGCTTAGGTTCTTAAGGCTGAAGTTCTGTACACGACTCCCCGTGTCTGTGTCGCTGTAAGTCGAAGCGTATATATGAGAGGGCGGAAGTCGGAGAATATGGGACTGGGATAATATCTGTGAGGCGTCAGCATTTGAACGGAACTCGGTGGGCAACAAAGGGGCTGCCACATAACATGACGATAAAGATGACGCTCACGTGTTAAAACAAACCGGTATCATAATCTCAGCTGTTGAAAGGCTGTTCACGTGAGTGGGGAAAAGGATGTCGACTCCAAGGCACGTTCCTTCGCTCATTAAACGACTTAAAAAGTCGGTTACTCAACAGTTGGGACAAGAACAAATCAACAGCATCCAAACGCAAAAATAAAGGGTATTCGAGTTGTTCTTGGAGTGCTCGATGGTATATTGTACAGCTTCGATTGTAGCGAAGAGTAACTAAGTACCGAAAAGAATTGGTGAACACTGAAAACACAATAGCTATGCTTTTTGACATTTTCTACTTGTATGTATAAGATATACCTTTGTCCAAACAAAGATTTACCAATTTAATTATCTATTATTTAAAAATTTAATTATTAGTCAAGCCTAGGTTTGCCTTTGTACACAAGATTAAGCCGTGAGTCAAGTCGGGCTGTCTCGATCTAATCCGCACCAACGATATTAGGTGGTCATCGCTTTAATAGCAAGCAGCTCTGGATATGCTTTGAGAAAAATAGATCTTCTCAAAGGATCGCTCATCCGGGTAAGGTTAGGCAATAACATCGAGCCGTATTTCTATTGCTTTAACTAACTTGAAAGTAATGGTTAATTATTATAATATTTCCCACACGGTAAAGTTTGTTAGATTTGTTGTTGTAGGAGTAAAAGACATGCCGTAAGTGCTAAGCACTGGAGCTTCACAAGGGTCTGAAACGCAATTACAGGCCAGTAAGGCCATAAGCGAACATGAGGAAACGTTCATTTGAGCCGCTACGACAAATACAGATTTAATATTAAGTATTATGGATATGTGTATATGTTGTCATCGCTAGGATCGTTTGATTTTTTGCAAATATTCGGTTTCCGCAGTGCTCTTACCTCCAGTATCACCGGTATATCGGAGTAATTAGAGGGTGATATTCACTATATAAAGGTAGGGCGAAAAGATATAGACTTAAAAAGCGAGAGAAAGTCAGACCGATGCTGGAATTTAAATATAATAAAACAAGAATACTTTGGGATCTTTTCTGTATCGATATTATGTGAGCCATAATAGTTAGCAAAGGATATTGTATACCGGTCTGCCTGCATAGATAGAGCGTAAATATCCATGTAGACACGTTTTTTTCTTTGTCTTCTACGTGGTACGTTCTTCGTTTGCTGTCTGAGAAAGCATTCTTCCAGCAGCAGCAGCAGCAGCCGCCTCATCAAGCAGCGATTGTTCGAAGTCCGAATAGCTTGAGTAGCGTACGATCAGGCGGAGTGCCAGCCAACCGATCTAAATAAGCAAAATAAACACCGCCTTGCGTCCAGCAACGTATTGCAGGAGGTTGGTTGTCCCGGATTGATCATTAACGTATGCTAATTATAATCTGAATAAACGACCTATTTTACCACCCACACACAGGTTAACTCCACATTAAAGAACTATATAGGTAAAAGTAGTGTAAGATTGGATTCCGATGTCATCGCCGTGTAGGCGCGCATCGTCGAAAAATGCTCATTCACATATATATATATATATATATATATATATATATAGAGCATAGACACAGTACGATGGAATGCCTAACAGCGACACCATTCTCATCAATCTATTTTGTATTTGGACGGTTTCGATTTAAAAAAAAAAAAAAAAAGCAAGCCTGCTTTAAGCAATGCAGAGCCGACAATTCCGAGGAAAAACACGCTGTTTTGTGATAATAACAATGTATGCTCGATAATGTTTGGCACTATGAAGGGTAGTTCTGCTATTAGGAACTTTAGCATGTGTCAACACACGATTAGGAATGTACATAAACCCCGCCATAAGTATGTGCTCACATACTAAGTACATGTGAATCGTGAAAACGGTATCGGAGGACGACTTGTGCAGTATTGCTTACTGTATACTTATCTAGAACGTAACAGCTCATGTATAATATTTTGGTTCATGCCATTAGTGTCTAGACACAGGCCTGGAACTTGTTAGAAAAATAGAGCATTTTCATAAAGTAAGCTATTCATCGTTCCCTGTGGATGGCGCGCTGTAGAAAACAATCATTTATCATCTGATTTTCTTCTGATCAAGCTAAAGCTTCGACAAAGACCATTGTGTACGGATCCGTCCGAATATGTCCTCAGCAGAAAAAAAAGCTATTGTTTACCATATAACGTGTGTTTATAAAATAAAATTTAAATAAGAAGTTTCGGAATGCAACGGATAGAGATAGGAAGCTATCTGCGCGCGCCTATTAAGCCATTGCTTTGTAAGCAATCGTTAAAGCCACGGAGCGATGTTTACATGCAATTCTATGTCACGATTTCAATATGAAGCTGATTAATTGGCAAAAGAACGAGCAAATGGGTTGGAATAAAAAAGATTAAGTTTCTGTTTTGGCTTCGCAATCAAGACTTCAATCAGCTGCATACACTTCATATCGAACGTGCGCTGGCGTCTGGTCGGTTTCTGGGTCAACTAAACGCGGATCTATGAACGAAGAAGCTGTTCATTAATGGACGTAAAGCGGATATTGCAACCAGGTCAGGGCAGGCCTTACTCTTTTTCTTCCCATCGACAAACATCTATCGGTCACTAACGGGTCTTTTACTTCTGAGCCGAAAGTTTCTGATGCCAGCTAAACAACCGGACATATCGTCCCGTTGATTTTCGATCGAACGAGAGTGAAATAAGCAAAATTTAAGAATGCACATTAGTGTATGTATCTATCTGCTATGGCATATTACTTTCCGTTTTTTTTTTCTGCAGGTAACGTTTATGTAGCATATTTACTATATAATATATGAGCCCAATCATGAAATACACCTTAGCACTATTTTACCAACGTTAAGTGTCAGTTACCTATTACTATTAGATGATATATTACTACGTTGCCGCGAACTATATGTATAGACACGTTTCACGTAAGTTATGACTGACATACGGTACGAGCTGAAGACAGTTGCTGTTATAGGGACATGGACTTTGGCGTCACTAAGAAATGTTACAGACGCGATTCTGCCAGCAGAGAATCCTAGAGACAATTCCCTTGAGTGGCAATGGGACAAGTTACGCAATAGATGAACTTTAAGGCAGGATCAGAAAATGGATAGGACCAAACGACAGGGTCGACACAGGACATTTTAAAAATGTACTCATTTTAATTATTTTGTAACACCACCACACGCTGTTGTTTTTTTACTAGCAACAACAACTCTAGTTGAGCTTGTTTAAGGCCCCGAACTGGACTTTTGTAACCTATCTGATCAGAGTAGAGTTTGATTTATGCTGCGATTATGGTATGAACCCTTTAGACAACTTTGTTGATGCAATAGATAGTAAATACAACTAAACGTTCTTGTATAATACTGCAAGGAACTCATAACATACCAGGTGCTGGGGCCATACCATACTGTTATCTGCAGAGTTAAATTATGTTAATCGTGAAACTGTCTACTGTGTGAGCCACTTCACCGTTAGTACCATTTTTCTGGAATAAAAACAGAAATATATTATCAAAAACACATCTGAACGTTCGATCAACGTGTAAGAATGTTGACATTTACCACTAAGCACGTTAAAGTGCAACTGTAGCTGAAACTAAAATTTCCTAGCTTAACCCTTTCGAAGACGAAATTTCTTGACTTCTTTTTACCGGTCAGATATCATCTATGACAATCCCTTTTTTTTGATGTGTAAATTTCTTCTAAAAAATTTTGGGACAGTCTTTAAAACAGGTGTTTTTGCCATCAATAAAAACAATATTACATTTAGCCCTTCACCTCTCACCTGAAGCAAAAAATATAGAAAAATAAAAGCCTATTATATGAAATGTATACTGAAGAACTCAGAAAAATACGGCGTATTTAGAATCCCAGAGAACAGGTAAAGTCAACCTCCTACGCTAGAGCGTTCTGGTTGCATGCACAAGCGGTGGTATATACAAATGTAGGTGGCTTTATCTGTAAAATGAAACCGGCAGTAAGCGCTTTTTCTTCAGTTCACCTGAGCTTCAACCGATGACTTGAGACGCCAGCGAAAGGTTCTCTCCCTTCCTTCGCTATGCTATCCATAGTCGGAGTAGACAATAACCATGTTGATGACGCTGTCACTCAGCAAGCTGTGTCTTTTTAGAAACGCCACCAGACTGTGGCGCCTCTCCATCGACTCGCGGCGACGTAACGCCCATCGCGCGCTCTTGTTTGCCCCGACCAACTCAACCAATGACAATCTAATACACTATATGTATGACGGGAGTATATGCAGACGCCACTTTGTGTCCCGGCTCGCACCGCCCCATAGAAATTCTCTTTTCGCTCTATGTCAACATGAAATCAGCGTAAATCGGCAGAAAGTTGTTGGGGGAGTAGTGTGGTCATATGTCACCCCTCCGCAAGGGACGTACAACTACCGACTTTCTCCGTCTCTCGCTCCTTTTCGGTGTCATTCTTCCTCAATTTCACTAGCGACCTATCGCCTAACTCAAAGGTTGACGAAAACCTTGGGCTCTTTACAAGGTGCGCGCTGTTTACCCTCGACTATTCACGTGCAACCGACGCAGTTCAGTGCTTTACGCGGCCAGCAAAGTCGCCACCGCCTCATAAGCCCCCCCTGCCTCGCTTTTCAATTTATCCCCAATCTATGACTAGCCAGGAGCCCTAGCAAAGTAAAGTGTTGTACCTTTGTAAAGTGTGCACTTACGTACGGCCTGCGAAATGGTTTTGGGGTAAGTGCTCGAGTGAAGACTACAGGACCTTTGTCATGTTATCACTGGCACTGGGCAGCGAGCCAAAGATTTGCCGAATAAAACTGCTCTTCTGGTGACATCAATGAATAAAGTTGATCAAAAGGGGGCTCGCAAAGAGGTGGTGACGCAATGAAGGACTCTGGCGGGGGCGGTTCGAACAGATGGAATCGGCTCATACCAGCCGAAAGTACAGTCTTACAGGAATTGATCGCAGCACACCTTATTTTATATACTTCTAGAACGTGAGTGGGTCTATTGAGTTTCGAGACCTCGGTGCTAATTCCTAATCGTCGTCACCACCATTCAGCTACGCCTCTTCTGCTTCACGTCCGTTTCATCGTTTTATTTTGATCCGTTCTCAAGGTTTGGCTGTTCTTTTGTTACAGTTATCAGCTTTCTATTCTTGCGGTTGTCTTTTTTTG